ACTACTGCTGCGTACACATCTCTTCATGCCACCGGTCCACGCACCACTGTCACACGATCCCAACCGTGCACCACTGCCAGCCCAACCTCTAAGCCACACCATGATGCACCATAATCGTTGCGTACCACAAAAAAATAAAAGCGGGACTGCCGCTTGCCGCACCGTCAAAATGTTACCCACGTAGCTTCAAACCACGGCCGGCAAAAAAAAGCCAGCCTTGCCACGCAATTTTGACAGCACTTCCTCTCAAAATGTCGCCAAAAACGCCACGACCACATCACTACCGCCATGAAATAAAAGATCTCGTTGTGCCGCACAAAGATTTTGGCAGCACCTTCCCTCAAAATCAACGCGGCGCAGCCTCCTCCCTTAATACGTCACTTACTACCGCGCAGTCCATCGGGCAGCATCTCCCCGTCGTGTCCTCTTGCCACACGACCCGAGCCTGCCGTAGCCTTACGGCTGCAGCTCACGCACAAGCGTACAGCACAAGCACAAGGGTGGGGCAAGAAGCTCCCAGCCTTTGGCTATGGCTGCCTCTCCTCCACTTTAACTTCCTGCAGACCTCCCCTCCTTCTCCAGCAGCATCTCCCCACAGTAGCAGCCAGCGAGCATTCACTCAAGTGAATGTCCCAGCAGCACTGCCACATTTGTGAGGCTGCTGGGTGGAGCGCTGGCTTTTATAGTTGTTGAGAGGAGCTGGCCAGCATTCCTCCATCCCAGGGGAATTCATGGGCTCAAGTTGAGCCCTGGATTTGAGCCAGATCAATGGCTGGCTCAGCCTGGGCCACACACTTAGCGAGGCAGTTACTTTCAACTGCCTCCTTTTATTTTTCTTTCTTTTACCCCAGCTATCTCGTGATTTCACGAGATAGCTGGCTTCCTGCCATTTTCAAAACACTTTTTCTTTCGTTTTTCTGTTATTTTTTTGAAGAGATACAACAAAGTTTGACGTACCCGAGCACTTTTCCTAGTGCAGGTACGTCAAGCCCAACCTATACTTAGCCATCTTTCAAAATGGTTGTTCAGGTCTGCAGGATTGAGTAGTCACACTCAGACTCAACCATCGTGCACCTGGGGCAGGATCACGGCCCCACTCGCGACCGTTTCTTTTTTTCCCCCTAGGAGGGGCAGCTCGTTTTCGAACAAGCAACCTCCACTTCCTTCCCAGTCATTTCACAGAGTCGACTAGAGTCAAGCTCAGCAGGGTCTTTTCCCCCCTGTCCCATCGCACCTGCACCTGGCGCAGGGAGAGCGCCAGGTTCAAGCTTCCTCCTTCAGTGGAGGAGCCAACATCGAAGGACCAAAAAGCAACGTCGCTATGAATGCTTCGCTGCCACGAGCCAACTACCCCTTCGGTCACTTCACTGACACCTCCAGCTTCAAGTATGGAAACACTAAAGGATCGATAGGCCATGCTTGCTCACATGCGCCTGTATCTTCCACTTGATTGTGGAAGCATACACAGCCTCGCCCTGCTGCAGCCCGTTCATCGAAACGAACAGGGGCAAACCCTGCAAATATGTGACGAGAGGGGGAATCTAAAGAAAGTAAAGAAACATAAATAAAATCTAAAAAAATATGAGAAGAACTAAGAACAAATCTAATAAAAAAATAGAAAAAAAACTTAGCTCTGAAATGAAGAGGCCGCCCGATCAGCACAAACAAAGAGAAAAACAAAAATAATAACAAAAAAAAAACAAAAAAAATCTATAAAAAAAAAAACAAACAAACAAAACTTATCTGAAATGATGTGGCTGCCCATTGTAACGGGCGCCAATTTCAGTCTTGCAGGGGCTGAAAACCCTTGTCACTGCTTATCGCGCCACATGGCGCGTCGGTTCCAGTTTGTAGTTCCCCGTGGTTTTTTGTTTTTTTTTTTTGTAATATCCGTTGGCACAAAGCCAACGGCCGCCACAACGACACACCCACGAACTGTTGAAATATAGGCCCGAGTTCGAGTCCGACTTAGAAAAAAAAATTGGAACATTTCTCGATTTATGTGTGTCATCCTTGCGCAGGGGCCAAGCAGTATCCCCGCGGCCATCTCGAGGTCGAAATCGACCGCGCCTCATTCCCACCCCAATGGCCAGCTCCAAAAGGAGCTAGCCCAGTGTTAGTGCAGTCTGGGCTTAATCCCAGTCTCTGCCGGGTGATAGTTCAGTGCGTACCTACTGGGCTAGCTCCTATTACAGGAGCTATAGCAGCAGCCCTTCTATTTGAAGGGTTGCGCCCAATAGGCCTCCCACCTATGGCTAGGCAAGTTTTGCCTGCCCGCCCCCTATTTCGTGGCCGGCTATCTATTGATAGCTTGAGCGACCACCCAACCGTGCAAGCCGCGGCGCCAACTTTTCGGCTCCCGACGCGAAGTCAAATCCCACGCCCCAAGAAGAAAATAAAAATAAACAATATAGGCTTGCAATTCCTCCCGCGCTGCGGCCCCATACCAGGCGCGACCATTCTTTTTAGCCTACCTAGGCCCTGAATCGCGCGGCTGCATTATTTTAGGTAGGATAGGTTTAGCTCTACCATTTCCATGTCCGCGTGCCTCTACGGCCTCGACAAAAATTGTCAACTACCGCTATTATTTTCGGACGACGCAAGCGTCCGAACTAAAGTTCAATCTCTCGGTCATAGGTTAGTTTGAATGAACTTTTGGCCAACGTCATTCTCATCAAGTCCTTCAATTCAACGAAAAAGTCAGACAGTGTCCGACGTTTAAAATCCCCGACAAATACCTTTGTCAGGGTATTTGTGCCAACACTGGGACTCGAGAGTTTGCATTGCAGCACGAAAAGGAAGTTGCGAGGGTGATTGAGAACCTTAGGAGGGCCCATCATCGCATGATTGAGCAAGCAAACAAGCATCGCCGACCGTCAGAGTTTGGGGTAGGCGACTTTAGTCTGTGGGTCAAGTCAAAGGAATTCGCCCCAGAAGAGAACATCTCGCAGAAATTATTACTTAGTCTGTGGGTCAAGCCAACGGAATTTGCCCCATAAGAGAACATCTAGCAGAAATTATTGCCCGCGTACAGAGGGTCATGGCCTGTCCTAGAAGTCAAAGGTGGAGAGGACAGACCATCCTACACGATCGACATCCTGTCGCACCTCCATACATATCCAGTTTTTCATGCGTCAAAGTTGTTGCCTTGTATCACCAGTCAACAGTTTCCGTCACGAAGAGCAATAAGTCCGCCTGACATAGATGTCACTTATGACATAGACCGGATCATAGAGCAAGATGTATTTAGAACTTGAGGTCGGGGTCATCCCTAGAAGCAATATAAAGTTAGGTTTGCTTACCAGGAACCTGAAGACGACAGATGGTTCACCAGAACAGAGCTTCTAGAGACCGCTCCCGGCATAGTGCATGCCTACGAGCGAGCAAGAAAGGGTAAGGGTCCTGCCTTGGATTAGAGAATTCTTGGAGGACCTCGAATTTAGGACGACGGGAGTGAAACGGTTTCACCCACTTTGCATGACAATTGCAGATCCCAGGGCTCGATCCCTAGACCTATACCCTAACCCTTGTACAATATTCGTTGACGCCCACATGATTTGAACCCACGACGTGTCCCAAAGTCGTATGTTTGTGTTTGTTGTGTTTAGTCTGGTCGTGTGGACTTGAATCGTGGATCTTAGTGTTAGTAGTCCTAGTGTCTATCCTATAGGTTAGCCCTAAGCTCTACGAAGGGTCAACAAGTCGTAGCCTAGGACCTTCTAATTTTCTTGTCACATGCATTTTTGAACTCATAAATTATTTTTAAATAAATTCACTTAATCCACGTCGGAATTAATCTCTTTATTCGAAATTTCTTATTTTTTTTTTTTAATTTTAACATCTTCCTTCTGTAAAATTCCTGCAAAATATATTTTTTAAATTTCATCAATTAATCTAAAATCATTCGAAATTAACTCTTTCCTTTTTCCCCCTTTATTTTTCAATAAAACTTTCAAAATCCTCTTCATTTTGCAAATAAAAGCCTTCAACCCCCCCCCCGCCCCCCCTGATATGAAGCGCCTAACCAACACCTCACACAAAGTTGTCGAAGCCACTGCCGCCACATCCGCTACTGCCACTTCAGCCGCTGCCGCCGCTGTCACCGCATCCACTGCTGTCACTTCCGCCGCTGCCATCGTCACCACCGCCACATCGCCCCCCACCACCCCCATGGATGAGTCTTCCAGTATCAACATGTCCACCACGCACACCCATTCCATCGGTAGTCTCGCCCGTCAACTTGCAGACGAACAACAAGTCGGCCCACCATCGCCACCGACCTCTCGGCCATCCTCCAAATGTTCTCTATAGTCCAAACCTCCCTCACCGACATGAAAGCCACTATCTTCGCTCTCTGCGATCGCATAACCGCCTTTGAGCAACAAGCTCCGACCATCACCGTGTTAACTGCAACTCCATCCCCGTCCACATCCGGACTGACCACCTCCTCCACTCTCACCTCCACCACCACGCCTCCCTACACCTCTCCTCCTCCTTCATCATCCTCAACCACCCCGTACCCCATCCTCCAGTGACTCTACCCCCCCCCCCACTTCCTCCAGTTCCATCCCCCCACATTCCACCCCCGCCATCACACACCTTTCCTCCCTCCTCGCAAGTCACTTAAATCCCCTACGCATCATCCTTGACACTCCTCCCCGCCTTCCCCCAACCTCCCCCCAACAACCTTATCCCTACCAGCCGCACCCACGACTACACCCGCATCGCGACTGCACCCACATCCTCTGACTTCAACACCCTCGCATGCTGTGTCCCCAAAACCAGCTACCTTCCCCTATCCCTCCGCCTCCAAGACATTCCCACCTTCTCCAGACACTCCCATGACGACGTTCTCCTCTTCCTCGCCAAGTTACAACAAGCTTTCGAACTCCGCAACGTCCCCCTTATCCACTGGCTTTCCATCGCCATCAACAAACTCGTCGACACCGTCCATCGATGGTGGATCACCTAATCCGCCGACCGACACTCCACCGACCTACCTCCCCTCTCCTTGCTCGAGTGGGCCTCCCTCCTCTCCGCCACCTTCCGCTCGCAAAAGACAATCGACGACTACGTTGACCAATTTTGCAGGCTTCGCCAAAACAGCCCCACCGACCGCTTCGTCCAATATGTCTGTACCCTCCGCCAAGACATTCCCCACGACTAGATCAGCAACAACGTCTTCATCTCCCGCTTCATGCGGGTCTGCCAAAAGGACATTGCATCCGCTGTCGACTACAAGCCACCGATGTCCTTCACCGACCTCCTCACCCGTGCCCTTCAACACGATCGGCTTCTCTGCCCCGTCCACGGTCCCACCACGTCCCGTCCATGCTTCTTTCACAACATCTTCGCAGATGAGACCACCATAGCGTCACCCTCTAACGACGAGTTCACAGCCCCTCTCATTGAGCCCGACACCATCTCTGACTCCTTCGCCCCGGAATCCCTCAGTTCGGAGGAACTCAACACCATCCAGTTCTTGGGTATGGAACACAAGGACCGTATGGCTTGACCATCTTCCTCCACCCGACCGCCCCATCTCAAGACACTCACAACGGAGGACCGCGCCTACCTCCAGGCCAACAATGGATGCTTCTGTTGCCAGCAGCTTCGACACCAGCAAACAAACGGCCTCAACACCGGTCAATTCACTCGACACGTTAACAAACCTGCGACATCCACTCCTTCGGCCGCCACGGGACCCGGCCCTTCCTCATCATGAACTTTGTACCCTTGATCTCGAAGTGCACCTTACTCCACCGGTGCCATCCTCTACCCCTCCAGACGAGATCATCGCAGCCTCGTGCTTTTCCACCTTCCTCCCCAACGCTTCCTCCACCTCCTTCTTCACTGTTGTTGCAGAACAAGCACGACTCAATCAGCTACTTGCATCTTTGTTCATTCTAGTGTTGAGAGCATCTTTCCTTCATGCATTGTCCATTTCCTCACTTGGTTGTGAATCGCCACTTTCATCTTTATGTTTTCAAGCTTGGGAGGGAGATTCTCTCACTCTCTCTCCATGACTTGTCCATTTTCCCACTTGGTTGTAAATCGCTACTTGTATCTTTATTCATTCTAGTGTTGGGAACATTTTTCTTTCATGCATTGTCCATTTCCTCACTTGGTTGTGAATCGCCACTTTCATCTTCCAGTTTTAAAGCTTGGGAGTGAGATTCTCTCAATCTCCCTCCATGTTTTGTCCATTTTTCCACTTGGTTGTAAATCGCAACTTGTATTTTTTTCCATTCTAGTGTTAGGAGCAGACAACCATACCAAGGGTTTTATCCTTCCCCTTCAGAGAAGTCCCTGAAGTAAGTGTGTTCCCTACTCTACTCTGTGTGGCGATTCTGGGGTTATTTTTAGATTAGCGAAATTTGGCATGTCAGTCTGTAGACAGGGGAAAATTGAAATTATGACTGTGAGACGACCATAGCCAGTTTCTCCTACCTGTCTTCTTTGACTTCTACTAACCCTATTTGACCCCGTCTCTGACTCAATTTTCATCTGTGATTGTTTTATAGTGTTGCGATTCATATGGTACTGTGAATTGGATTGTTCACGGTCATACTGTCAGTAAGAATGGAAATTTGAATTATGCGCAGCCATAGCTGAAGCTTGGCCAGGGTAGGGTTAGTCACAAATTTGGTTCTGTCCACCAGAATTCAGTTCTGTCTGTCTCTGGAATCGCAATTCGGTGTTTGGTCTGTGTCTGAAATTGCACTGTCAGATTTGGTGTATTGAGTCAGTTACAGTGAAATTTGTACTTCGCACTACCCTGGGTATGGCATGCAGGGTCATCCAATGGTAGGGTTAGTAGGGTAAGTCTAAAAATAAAGCACCAAGTTAATCCTTATATCTTGGTTATCTGTAGGTACCTGTCAGTTACTCTAGCTAATTACTACTTACCGCTAATCAGTCCAAGACTGCATCCTGTCTGTATGGGAATTGAAGTAGTTGCACTCAATTGAGGTGTTAGGGCAGTGAATGGGAAATCGTGAAAGTGATTTTTACTGAGTTTGGTCTAAGCTGACAACTGACCCTCAAGCGGTTTGCAGAGACTGGACGGTTATCTGCTTATACAAACCAACTTCCTTCTCCAGTCAGGCGACAACAATTGGGCAAGTACTAAAGAGAAAACCCAATTTTTGTTGACTTCCCTTTTTGTTTCCTATTTTGTTTATCTTATATGTTTTGTGGGTTTTTCATAATGTCTGGCACTGAGAAGGTAGAGGTTTCTGAAGAGAGACTGAACTGGTTGCGGGCAAGAAAAACTCTGAAAACAAGCAGCAGCAGTTGAGGCTTTGAAGGAAGAGAAGAGGCGTAGAGAGGAGGCAGACCAAAAAGAGACCAGAAGAAAACAAATAGTGACAGACATTGAGAAGATCAAGGTGAGTGGATCTTCCAGTCAACACAGTAAGGATATGGCGGAGTTCGTCCTCCCGCAGGATGATATCCAACATTCCTACTTTAGTAACTGGGATGCGAGGATTACCAGTCTGGAGGACAGTCACTCAGCGCTTTCTAAAAAGTTGGATGACATCTTCTGCAAACTGGATCGGCTCTTCACACACCTTGAGATCCCTTCCACCCTTATCATTCCGGCACCTCCTGGGAGTCCCACGACGGACCCCCAACACACCCCACAATCCAGACCCCCATCTCCAGCCTCTACACCCAAATCAACAACCGCCTCACAATCCTCAGGTCCATTTGACCTGTAGTGGCCCAAGCTGACCCCTCCACCCATGTTCTCTGGTGAGGACCCGAAGGTGGATGTTTCAGATTGGGTCACGGCATAGAGAACCTACGTGAGTGGGTTCAACTGTGACGAGGATGTAAAGGTGAGTGCCATCCTTGCTTGCTTGGAGAGGACAACACTGAAATGGTGTACCTCCACCTCCAGCAAGCAAGGATTGGAAATGACTGAATCGGTGCAAAGACTGGGGGTGTCTTGGTTTGCTGCAGGCTCTGAATGGCCGGTTCACAGACAAGGAGCAGGCAAGGCAGCAAACAAAATTATTCGCCTGGGCCAGAAAAAGTATGATGGCTCCTTGTCCAAATTGTACTCAACCTTTGAGAGTCTGACATCGACTCCTGGGTTGGAGATGAGTGAGCAGGATCAGCTCATTCATTTCTTGAGAGCAGCACCTGGAGAGTACCAGCTTGCACCATTCTCTCAGGGCCACAAGGACAGGCGGTCCTTTGGCATAAGAACCCTGGATCTGGACTCCAAGCTCCATGTCCAGGAAGCACCTTTTGAAGGAACGAAGAGACCCTCCTCAAAGGGGGGAAGAAAGAGGAAGGGTGCTCTCTTTGCTGCACCTTCTAGTTCAGAAGATGACACAGCATCTCAGATTGGGAACACTCCATCTGAGACTACCCCATCCTCTGCTATAGATCCAGCTGTTCTTGCCCTCGCTGATGCTCTGATGGGCCTTGCAAAGTGAAAGGCCCCGACCCAGAGAGTATCAACCAGCAGCAAGGGGAAAGGTAAGGGACGTGCCTCTTCCCCTGCGGCCCAGAGGGTCCCATTACCATGAGACGTCAATTGGCCAGCTGACCCCCTTGATGCTTCCACCTTCCCCTGGCATGTGCTCAGGATCCAGGGGGGAGTAAGGAGGAAGAGGAAGGACAAGGGAGTTTGCCTGAGGTGCGAGGGGGACCAATTTCTGAAGGATTGTCCCAACATGCCTCACAAGCCTTCAGGCTCTAGTTCAAAAAACAAAAGAGGAAGAATCAGCAACTCCTTCTACCAGTGTTGATTCATCTTCTTAGGAAGTTGAATCTTCACCATCTCTCGCTGATTGTTTTTTGAGAGTTGCAGCATCAGGGTCCTTCGCTTATGAGGACATTGATCTGGGTGAGACGTGGGAGGAGGATGAATCTTTTCCTATCTCTGCAGGAGAAGAAAAGGCACAGGCCGGATCTCATCTTGATTCGACCGTCCATCCTGGGAGCCAGGTTCAAAGGGCTCTTAGATTGTGGTGCTACTCGCAACTTGGTCTCCCAAGACAGTCAGCAGGCTGCACTTAGACCGGAGACTGGTAAAGCTGCGACAACCGATTGAAGTGCGTGTCGGCGACTCATCTACAATCAGGATCACGACTGCAATCAAAGGCCTACCTGTAGTCTTTGAGAGGCAGGCAGCACCTGAATTTCTACGTGTTTCCCAATGTACCCTTTGACCTTGTTTTCTCCCTACAGTGGCTTGAGGCCACCAACCCTAAGATCGACTGGCGGATCCCTAGGGTTGAGCTGCATGACCAGCGAGGGGAATATTGCCCCTGTATGCTCGCTGATGAGTACCATCCGGTCAGCAACTGTTATTGTATGCGAGCACATCCGTTATTCTAGTTTTCATGCCAGACTGACAACACCCGTTAGTTTGTAGTTTATGTAAAGGAGACTGACGTCGCGACTGCTCCCTGTCCCTCTCGAGTTCAGCAAGTGGTGACTGGTTCTCAGACCTTATGCAGGAGCCTACTGGACTTGTCCATAGGCAAACTTAGCTTGAGATCGAGCTCCTGCCTGGCGCGGTCCCTCCCAAGGGCCGAGTTTACAGGATGTCCCCTATTGAACTTGATGAGCTCAGGACACAGCTAGAGACCCTGACCAACAAAGGCTGGATACGTCCAGTACATCTGAGTTTGGGGCACCAATTTTCTTTGTACCCAAAGGGAATGGTGAGTTAAGAATGTGTCCTCGCTCTGGGGGAGGGTAGGTTTGCAATGACTTGCTGATTTTGCGGCCTGGTGCTCGTCGCACCGAGGCTGTAACATAGGTAGGTTAGATTCGCAAATTTGTTTGGCTGAGGGCTAACCGAGATATCTACATGTGGGGAAAATTTGTAAGGGACATATCGGCAAATTCGGGAAAGTTTCAGGCCCGTACTAACTTGAATTTCCTACAGCTACCCTAAATGCGAATGGCAGACCTGGGCTACCACTAGGACAGACGAGCCTATGGGCCTATGCTGTTAGAATGGTCCTATAGCCTATAACCGGGTGGGGAGAGGCCCTAGAGGCCGAAAACCGAAATGGTACCGGCCAGTCCAGTTAGTCCAGTCTAGTCGTGTCTAGGCTAGGGTGGATTATGAATAGAATGGGGAAGTCTGTTCAGGGCTTTTGGCAGTTGGTACCGAGTACATTGTGGCTGCACAGCGCGTGAACTGGATTGGTACAACTTCAGCGTTGGAGGAGAGACATAGCCAGACCGTCGACGCGTCGACCATAGTTGGGACCTTTGCTGTTCTCTGACAACACGCGGGGTTGTCCAAAGGTCTGGGCTACCTGAGGTACGCTGGGAGCAGGAGAAGTTGGTGCCCCTGCTGAACCCTCCTCACGAGT